GCTTGAACCTTTTCTTCTTCGACACATCGACTGCCACACCGAAACGATTCTGATCAGTTGCATGATCAATGCCTGCGAGAGTAGTTTCAAGCGACCCGTGGCAGTCGACGTGTTAACCGCTCGACTCCGCTTAGCGATGTTAGAATAGGAAGAGAAGCATGCCGGGAGGAGCACGAATATAGAGATAGTGTTTAGGTGGTTTGAGAGAGTGCTTAGAGAGGCAATGCAAAAAGGGAAATGGAAATGACACAGGAGCCGAGCCGTCGCCGGCCTACTTCAACATCGTGATGCACGGCGAGGAAGAGGAGGTCCTCGACGGCACCCAGCTGGCCGCCGACTGGACCTTCTCCGGGCTCCAGAAGTTCGGCCAGGGGCTGCTCGATCGTCTCAAGGGTTTGCGGCTGAACAGCAAGCTACTGGAGAAGGTAAGTGGAAACGCGAGGAGCGAGCGACTACCGACGAACGGAGGGGATTTATCGCGATGACCTTGAGGTGACCTTGAACCTGACCTAAAAACCAAGGGAACCGGACGGATCGCGTTCTGAACTTGATCCGATCGAAGAGGCGATTGTCCGCGTAGTCGTTCGTTGTCTTGTCGCGGTGGCGAGGTTGTCGGTGTTGATTTGAACCGTTGAAACGGTGACCAGGTGAACATCGTTGAGATACCGGGGATCCTAGAGATTCGGAAGCAGGTGCAACGTTTGTTCCCGTTCAACGACGCGTGCCAGTGGTTCATCGACCGAGCGGACATAATATTCCTGGTCTACGACCCGTCGAAGCTGGACGTCGGACCGGAAACGGAGGCGATCCTCGATCAGCTGAAGGGTAGGGAGTACCAGGTAAGCGAGCACGTGTCCACCAGGAAACGATCGTCAGACCGATTAACGTGAATCTCCGGAACAGACGCGCATCATTCTGAACAAAGCCGATCAAGTGAAGCCCGAGGAACTGATGAGAGTGCAGGGGGCACTGATCTGGAACATATCGCCGCTGATGTCCAGCGCCGAGCCACCGATCATGTATTCGACGTCGCTGTGGTCGATACCGTACGAGGCCGGAGCGCCGACCAGATTGCTATATGCTCAAGAGCGTGCATTCCTGCGCGATCTGCGCACTGCCATTGACAAACGAGTCGAGCACAAGATAGCGAGCGCCAGAAGATTCGCTGTGAGTTATCCGAATGAAACTGAATTCGAATTTTTTAGATGAATGTCTCGAATTCTATGAATCGATAATATAGTTAATTCTCTGAAATCACTGTGTCTGATTTGTTGGGATTACAGGTGCGAGTGCGCAATCATGCTAAAATGGTAGACTGCTATCTGACAACCTATTACAACCACAAGACGTTCTTCGGAAACAAGAAGGAGATCAGTGACAAGATCATTGAGAATCCCCAGGACTATCACATCTACGAGGGGCTCAGCACTCTGAAGAATATCTCGCGCTACGACTTGCCAGATCCGGACGTCTACCGAGACTTCTTCCGGCTGAACCCTCTGTACGATTTCCCTCTGCTGAGCTCGACGTGCACCTACTTCCGTGGGTGTCCGATCAATAGACTGGACGTTGCCATCGCGTACGACCTACCCGAGTTGGTAGGGAAATACAAGAAGTCGGTAGAGCAAATCATGCACGAATACGAGACCAGTCCTCCCAGTTGAGTGTAGTTCAACATTCTGAAGCGGAGCTCTTGAAGCCATACTACCTGTGGAGCTGAAGAGCACATTGTACAAAAATAATCAAGCGTACGAGTGAAGAGAAGATGAATATTAGTGTAAGTTTCATACTTGAGGCGTTGAAGAGAACTTTCTTTCCTGGGACAGTATAACGAATAGGGTTGGATCACCCTCGGAGAGAGAAAATCAAAACTTGGTCCTAGAATGTAAGACCTAAGCGAAGAACTAGATAAAGCTCCTGGAACACATCCTTGCATGGTTTACTAGATAATCCATTTTAAGGATGAGAAGAGCAGTATCCGAATATGAGAGGTATACTTGCTGATTTTGTAGGTAAAGGAACCATACATATGTCACTGTATACTGAACGTACTGTCGAGTGAACTGCTGGATTGGAAGACGAAGATTTCAAGACGCTACTTGTGTTCGGAAGACGATAAGAGTGCTACCATTCCGATCTAAAATGGACAGTGAGTTCCCCTCGATTGTGTTCAAACACAGCTTCGATCATGCGGTTTTGGAAAACATATCACAGCAATAGTGGGTCCTATACTAATACGTTCATGAAAAAAAAAATATAAATGATGATAAGATGAACTCGAGCTATAGACTTCTTTGAAACTTAGTGTAATAGTTGTGCCAACTATTATACAGCACTGTGAGAATTCAGCCGTCAGAAGATCGTCAGACGGGAACGCGTATTTACATATTGTTAATATGTAAAGTTATATAAAATATTTCCATTGAGAAAGAGATAAGAATGATCTCTTTTTGAGGCTTTTGTGAAATACCTTGTATAAACGAATTGTGTTCTTATTAAAAGTTATAAAACCTAT